GAATTATGATATACAAATATAAGAAATTTTTTATATAGTCACATCTCTTTATAATCACCAAATATGGACTGTCCCAAATGTGTGACTATAAAGAGAGTTGACTGTACACATATCAAAAAGATTGCTACTGAACCAGAATTATGTAATTAGAATACAGATAAAATTTTGGCAAATTTTCAATCCAGTCTAGTTAATTCAATCTGGGTTAGATTTATAATTCAAACCCAGATTAGACCAGACCAAATATTTCAAACATCAATCCAGACTGGAGTCACTGGACCAATCCTAATTTTCAGTCCAGATTGCTGTATTAGATTCAGATCGATTAGAGCTTTAAATGCTATAATTGTTCAGATTTTATATTAACTCATTTTTTATTTTTTCTAGTAGTTTTGTTTCTTTCTACTGCAAAGTATCCATATAAGCGATTTATATGAAAATGGAATATTCTATTTTCATATAAGTTAAGAAAATCCAAAATTCACATTATATAGATTTAGAATTCACTTACAATATATATACAGATGATGCCTAAAATTATCTGACCACTTTTTAAAGTGAAATGATTTATATATACATCATGATGTTGGTCAAAGTAATTTATTAATATTTATTATTGGTGCTTATTAAATATAAGGTATGTTAGTAAAATGCATTTAAATATTTACTTAAAATACTAATAAAATGCTTAAAAAATTAAATGGTTAATAAATATTAAAATTTAGTACTTATTTAATAGTATATTAAGCATTTATTGCTTACTAATAAATATAAAATTTTAATGCTTATTAAATATTGCTATTCAGTAAACATAAGGTTTCAGTTAGTCTAACATCATGATGACAGGCATGTCGAGAATTGGATATGATGGAATTTTTTAACGTTAAGATTATGTTTATTACGATATATTTAAAGAGCGTCCTTATCCTAAACCCTCTTTAAATATGATTAGTTTAATCAGTTACCGAAATCCATTGGATAAGACTTATTTTTGCATAACATTTATCATGGAAAATTTTTCACGATATACTATACACGCATAATAACTATCTTAGAAAAATTTTCAGTAAATTTTTTTATAATATATACATTTAATATCATAATATTATCAATATAACTGATGAGTACAATTATAAATATTACAGGTTGGATATCATACCATTAGTGAATCAAGAAAACATACAAGATTAAATGGTTTTGATGCTCCGCCTTTTAAAAAACTAAAATTTCATCATTTAAAGTTTAAACTTGAACAAATTGATCAGTTTGATCATTTTTTTATGAGAAAGGATATTGTTAACATAAGTTCTTACCGGAATCATTCCAAATCAGGCTTACCAATAATGTATTTACAGGATCATAAACAGGCATCTTGGAAAAAATTTTCTGAAGAGTATTCAAATGGGATGTGATGTTCAACATTTATGTCACATTTGCAAGAAACTTAGACGAAAATGATATACCTAAAACTTCTACTATTCAGAATTGGATTGCCAGCTTTTTATGAAAATGGAAAGAAGTTATGGCATTACATAAATTAGAAGCAAGATAAGCTATCAGAAATACATAAAAAGTTATTATAAACCATAAAAATGCATAAAAATATCGTCTTATTTGTTTTTATTTGTCAAATAGTAATAAATAATAGTATATAACTTGAAATTACCGTTTACATATATATACGTAAAGTTTCAAATGAATATATAAAATTTTCTTTTTTTTATTCAATATTATCTTTGACATTTAAGGTGGCACAACATGATTATTTACAATTTTTTTAATTTACAGCATTTTAGCCAATTTTGTGATTTTTATAATAACCTCCTCCCGAATTTTCATAGTAATTTGCTGACATTTTTATGCAGATCAGATCTTAATATATAAGAGTGATATAATATACTTATATCAAAAATGCTAAATGTTAAAATTATACTTTAAAAAATTTTGCATATTATTAAGAATATTATAAATTTTAATTTTTTCTCTTCTCTCATAAAATTACATATAATTATAATTGCTAAAACTAATCATAAATAATTGATCATAAAAAAACATTTTATAAAATTAAGAGGAAATCCGTATTATGTGTGACCATCGCTGTATAGCATTACATTAAAATGTGGTAATATCATGTATTCTGAACTAGTAAATTCTTTATGATTAAAAAAAGTCAATGTATAAAGAGAATATTGCAACCAATAGTATAAGAATCTATTCTTAACATCCTTCTTTCAGCATTTCAAAGGCTTTACTATAATATTCACCAGCTTTTGTACCTTTGTAGGCTTCACATAATGACTTCAAAATAAGTTGGTCCTGTTGTTCCTCAGTCAAATCTTCTTGTGGCATATCAGGTAAATCATCATAGTTTTCATTATCTAAATCATATTTGATTATCCTTCTTGGTGATAATGAGATAGCTTCTATTGCCTTAAACAATAATTCCTGCACAGTTCGCTGACGTTTAGAATGTTTATTTATAAAATCCATATATTCCTCTTCCTCCATATTTTTATTTTCAGATAATTTTGCAGTATTATCCATTGGTATAATTTCATTTTTATTGTATTTTCCTTTAATATAAGTGGTAGCTCCATCTTCTTTCTTCACATGAATATTGATTTTGTCTTTGACTTGTACTTTAACAAAAAAAGAAAATATGTTAAAACAAGTAAAAATATAATTCATCATGTATAATAATGAGGATATTTTTATATAGACTGATGATATTTTATTATTAATTAAGCTGATTCACATAAACACTACCTTTAACAAGAACATCATGGTAAGATAATTTTGTGGTATTATCTATTAGTATGATTTCATTTTTATTGTTTTCTTTGGTAGCTTTATCTTCTTTTTTCACATGAATATCGATTTTATCTTTAACTTGTGCTTTGACAAGAAAAGAAAATATGTTAAGAATAATAAAAATATAATTCATCATGTGTAATAACGAGGATATTTTTATATAGACTAATGATATTTTGTTATTAATTAAGCTGGTTCAATAAATACTACCTTTAACAAGAACATCACGATAAGATAATTTTGCGGTATTATCCATTGGTATGATTTCATTTTTATTGTCTTTTCCTTTAATATAAGTGGTAGCTTTACCTTTTTTCTTCACGTGAATATCGATTTTGTCTTTGATTTGTGCTTTAACAAGAAAAGAAAATATGTTAAGACAAGTAAAAATATAATTTATCATGTGTAATAACGAGGATATTTTTTTATATAAACTGATTATATTTTGTTATTGTTTGCATAACTCGCAATATCACTAGTCAAAAACCAGGCAAATGTGGCATAGTAGCCTTTATCTTTATTAAATTTTATTCGAACTTCACAATTTACAAAAGAAAAAAAGAAAAATATAAAAATAAAACTAACTAAAAACAAAGCTATATAGTCTCCTAAGAAAAAATAAAGTAAAAATTAATCTAAAAAAGAAAAATCGTATTACACTAAATTTTCTTAGATCTTCCCCCTTTATATATTCCAACCAAAGTAGAAGCAACTATGCTAACAAAATAACGAATAGCGCGTCCACTATAAAAATCGACACTCCATCCTGCAAAAGCTGTTATTAAGTAGCACCGTTAGACGACCCATAAAACCCGAAAAGTGATTAAACCAAGGCAAACCATATTTAATCGAGTTCTTTAACCAATCAGTTCCAGAGTCACGTGAATCGTGTAGGGTCGGAGGAGGTAAAGATGAGTAAGGTTTGTACATTGACAATGGCAAATTAGATGGCTTTGAAGTAGTTTTCAACTTATAGGTAATATTCATCGCGTTTTCCCATCTACATTTTTCATAAGAACGCGGATTCCAAATTCGTCGTCTGAATTTTTGGACAAAATTATTGTGAATAGCAGCGATAACCTTTATTGCAGAAATCCTTGGAATGGATAAGTCGACAAATAAGTCAATAAAGAGTTTGGGTAAACAACCACGGACCAGGGCATAGGAGGATCAATTTGTAGAAGAAAAGGACCAGCATGAAAGAGAAGTGAGTTTAGCAATGAATGGAGTAGGATCGATATCAGCCAATTTTCCGGCTTCCATGATTTTGGAAATCAAATGATTTTGATAAGATTGAAGAATTTGTTGCATAGGCAGACGACGTTTTTTGCACATAAAAAGGTGCATCAGGTCTTCCATGCGGTTGATACAAGAACGGTAAGTTAATTCGTCCATGTATAAGTCTGGTCAAGTCCGTTTAAGCTTTTCCAATGTAGGCAAATCATCCAAGAAAAGTTTAAATTTAAAGGTTAGGTGTCTTGAAGCGTGCTCAGGAGTAAAAGATGCATCATAAGAAGGCTTGAAATTTAAAGTGAACCAGGTAAGATCCCAGTCGACAATATAATCTATATTAGATGATAATAAAGAAATAAAGTGAAATCGCGTTAAGTCTAACAAATCATGCATTAACTGCGTTTGATAATATTGTTTGAGGAGGTGTCGCGGATTAGATTCACAGACAACATCATTGTCATAAGTTAAGACAAAATCATGAGCAGAGGCCAAGTCCATTCCAGAAATCAAAATACTGGATGACGCAGTATGAGCAGTATTGGCCAAGGAATCAGCAAAATCGTTTAAATAGTTGCCAGAGTGAGCTTTAACTTTGACAGGAAATACGGTCAAATTTTTGGAGAGAATGGTTCGCTCAATAATAGCCCAAAGCTCAAAGTTTGTAGTTTTGTAATACAAATGACTATTCGAATAGATAAAGGAAGAGCAACCTCGAAGACCATCAATAGCAGTTTGCGAGTCAGTATAAATAGTGACTTCTGAGTCGCGAGGAGAAATAGTTAAAACTGCATAAATAGCAGCAGCTTCAACTCTAGAAGAAGAAGGATTGTCTCTAATAAGGCTGTGAGCATAAGTGGCAATGGAGTTAGGAAAGCCTGCATCAGGGACAATTTGCATCCAAGATCAGCCCATAGAAACTTCAGGAGTGCCTAGATTAATAAGAGACCCATCAGTGAAAAAGGTATAATGCGAATCCGAAGAGATGACCAACGGGGAGTTAGCAAAAATAGCAGCAGCTGAGAATTCAATAGTGACAGGAGTAACAGAAACTTCAACGGTATCTGCAGAAGAGGAATCAGAAACAAAATCCAATCTACTATAATAGAGACGGACACCATCTTTTATATCAGCCCAAGTAAAGGGGGAGGTCACTTCGGAAGTATTACGTCTAATCCGCTCATTGGTAGTAGGCAGAATAAGCGAATGTCGTAAAGAAACCGTAGGTGTACAAATGGTTAAATCAGCATTCCGTTTTTTAGAAGGAGGGAGAGGAATATGGGCAGCGCAGCCAGGACAAGGAGAAAGTCTAATAAGATCTCCAGGCGAAGATTCACAATCAGGAGAAACCCAATGGACAATGGAACAAGTACCACGACTTGTTTGGACCAAAAGTTGTTTGCCAAAGATGGGAGAACCAAGATCATCCAACGTGACAATCCAATTTTTTGTAGTGGGAGGAGAGGATAAACAAGGTTCCAATTCATAAAATGAAGAATCATTCGTATGCATAGTAATAAACTGATCCAGCAAACGATTATTGGAGTCAGGAATAGTGGTAGCTTGTTGAATATCTTTGTACCAATAAGGGATACGACCAGGGCCACGTTGTCCAACCAAATTGTCATAATAAGCCTTCCAGGAAATTAAATGAGTTCCTTGGGGAGTAACCAGCTGAGATAAATAAAACAGTTGTTGTTTCCGCAGAATGGAGAAATAAGCTCTAAAGGCTTTAGGCGTCATGCATTCAAATAAAGGAACGCATCCATCTAACAGAGATAAGTTCGGAAGCTTCGAAAGTTGAGTATGAAGCAAACGAAAAGGAGTAGAAGTTAAGAGAGCAATAGTGCATGCGAAATAATCTTTCTTAAAAGAAAATAGAGAAGACCATATAGACCAGTCCTTAATTAAAAGGGGAGAAATAGGAATCAAAAAATTATATTGAATTAAACACAATCTATAAATAAAAAGAGATTGAATAAATGAAGAAGAAGAATTAGCCATTAAAAATAAATTAGTAATATGACATTGTCGTTGATAAGCAAACAAATTAATCAGGCCCAAGGCTTGAGATAAAAATAGAATAGGATTGGGTAAAGAACGAGAAAAATTTGCTTTGTGCTTAACAACAGATCGTATACTTCTCGTTACTAGGTGGCAGTCAGATTCAGACAAGTGAGTAACTTGCATTCGGTATTCAAGTTTTGGTATAAGAACAGCATTATGTAAATACACGACTTGCTTGGGAGAGAGCTTTGCCGGTCGGATGGTCGCAGCAAAGGAGCAGCATTCGCGTTTGAGTTGCTTTTTGACAAAATCACGGGAACTCTTAATGTTAAACCAGACACCTAAAAAACGAAAAGAAGTTGTCATGGAAATTGGGGTAATAGTAATAGAAGGAACACTATTTAAAGAGGATAAATTCAAATTAAAAGTAATAGGAGATAAAGTGGAATTCGAAGTCAAAAGCAACGAATTAGTAATTAACACATATTTGTTATGATTGGCAGAAGTGTTATTGATCTGATAAAATTCTTCAGTAATGGATAACATAAATTCCATGCCAGCTTTTGACGAGGAAATAAGAGTAGAGTCATCCATAAAAACTAAATTATTAATCTTCAAATCAGGAGAAGGAGTTGGAGAATTAATTAAAGACGGTGTAGAAAGAACATAAGGGTCCATCATTTCATTCTTCAAAACAGTAAGTAAGGGATCAATATAAATAACCCATAAAAGAGGAGAGATAACTTCGCCTTGGTCAATACCAATGCGAACCCTATAAGCAGGCGTAGATCCATGAGCAGTGAAAACGTGATTGGTGCGTTTCATGAAAAGTGAAAGGATAAACTTAACAGCAGAAGCTGGAAGACGTATACGCTCTAGAGAAAACGTAACATTGTCAGATCGACCGAGTCAAAAGCTTTAGAGATATCTTGGGAAAGAATCCAAAGTGGGTTTTTGTTGATATTAGCATCATGGATGATAGATTCTAGAGTAATGATAGGGTCGCGGCAAGAACCACCAGGAAGACCAGCAAAGTTACCATCTTTTAAGACGTTATGTGAAGCCATAGTAGTAGAGAGGCGATTATAAAAAAGTTTGACAAGAGATTTCCTAATCACTTCGAGTAAAGTAATAGGACGAGTATTTTTTAATTGACATTTCCATTCGTGAGGTTTGGGAATAGGAAAAACCATTGCTTGTCGCCATAAGTCGGGGATATCAGCTTTGGAGAGGCATGCTTGAATTAATATGAGGAGCAGAGCCGAGGTACGAGTTCCAAGATGTTTAAGCATTTCATAGGTAATCATGGAAGGACCAGAGGCTTTACCGTTAGGAGTGGAAGAGACGGTGAATAACCATTCGTCAAGAATAGGGGGATTCATTAAAGAATCATAGATGGAGGAGGACACATCATCCATAGGTTGGTAGGCAGAAGACCATCTATCAGGTAATGTATCGATGGATACAGGAGGAGTGAACTTTATAGGTACAAAGTTTTGGAAATGGTTAACAACAGCATCATCTATGTCCTTGGGATCCTTTAACAACTGGGGCCGAGTAGGGGTGTCGATGAAGACACGGTCCAAAGTGATACGGCGACGGGTACGAGAAAGCGCTGAATCGATAAAGGAAGAAAGGTCAGTTTCAAAATTATTATTCCTATCATCCAAATGAGTACGGATGGAGGAGTCTTGAAATTCTTTTTCTTGGAGCAAATGAAATCCCCGTAAGGATTTTGAGATATTAGATAAATCATCAAGAAGCGATTTGAAATTATCTTGTTGACATGATGAAAGAGAAAAGGGCAGAGTAAGATTGAAAGTAAAAACTTTCTTATATAATTGAAGAATGTTTTGAAGTCTAATCAAATGAATAGACCATTTATGCTCGTGAGCAGCAGAATAAGTTGAAGGATATTTGCGCAATATACGTATTGAGTGCATAAGGCGATTTAAGAACCGATAATGTTGAGTTAAAATTTCCAGATCTTTAGGGACCTTAGGAGTATAATTGTTGCCAACGGGGGAAGAAGGTAAAGTAATGTTGGCGGCTTTAAGGATACGTGATTGAAGGTATTCGCACATTTGATTGATATGCCAGGAGGAAAAAATCGAAGGTAAGACATCACATAAAGTGTCAGCTATCTCAGTGAATTCTGTCCATTGAGAATCAGTGACAGAATCAAATTTGAAGACGCGACGAGTCTGGCGCTTAAGTTGTCGAGCACGAGCCAGTTTGGTAGAGGCGAAGAGTAAAGACATGTCATAATACGTGACAACAGGGTTATGATCAGATGTGCAAATATCTTGAGCATCAAAGATGCAGGCAGTAAGGGCGAATCCTTTAAGAAGAGGACAGGACCATACATAATCAACATGAGTAATATGGTTATTACGATGAAAGGTACCTAAAAAGTTGGAAAGATTAATAGGAGTGTAGTCTTCATATCCATGAGAAAGGAGATGAAAAAACAATCGGTGAATATGTTTTGAAGCAATTTGAGGTTGATTAAAATAAATAGGGTAATATTTATCTAGATGCATATTAAAGTCGCCACAAACAGCATGATAAAAACCAGCTTGTTTAGTAAGGGTAAGTTGTTGAATAAGCAAATCAATAGTGTCAGAGCGCAAATCACTTTCAGCAGGGGGAGGGATATAAATAACAAATACACGCAATTTAACATTGCCTTTAAAGTATAGATCAATGGAAAGTAAACGTGAAGAATGAAATTTAAAATCTTGTACATGTGAAGCAAGGGAATTTTCAACGAAAAGAGAAACGCCACCAGAAGAAAGAATTTGTTTAGAAGTATCCAAATTGGAAGAGAATACAGTATAATTGGAAATACGCTTGGATAAAAACTTCATTTGTTTAGGGTGAAGATGAGTATCAACGATACCACCAAAAGAAATATGTTTTAAAGAAAAGAAAGTTGAAATTTCTTCTAATTTAGTTTGACTATACATTTTGAGGCCATTAACATTAAAAGAAGAAATATTAAATGAATTGGGGATAGGAGAAGT